CTCTTTTTAGAGTGGTGCTATCGAAAAGTGGTCAACTAGTAAAAAATGTAAAATTGAATTTTAAACAAGTTTGCAGTTGACAACTTTTTGGTATCTTTTGTTTCAACTGAGATATATAGGTTTGAAGTTGCAGCACCCGGAGGCGAACAGGATCGGAAGCGATAAGGCTCTAAAGGACGCCGTCGTTGTAGCTGATTGAAAGATCTGAAAAATCGAAACGTTCAAAAAACCAAAGTCTTACAGAACCGTGTTTTTTATCATAAAAAAGTAAAGGGAAAAACTGGAGAATCCACAGCTTTTTTGAAGTTTTGTAGAGGCTAAGGAAATTTATGATTCTTCTGATAGCTTAACCTCTAGAAAACTTGTACTTTTGTTAGTTCTGGTCAGAATGATCAGAATTCACCCTTGATGGTCTAGCCCTGTGCAAATTTATTGAAAAATCTGAAAATTTTGCTCCAAAAACCATAAAAATCGGTTTAAAACAAACGAAACTCCAGCAGTTGGAGAATTTGTAGAGGCTAAGAAAACTCCAGAGCCTCTCGCTTCAAAACTGTCAGTTTTAGCTAGTTTAAGACGGGTTTTCATGATTTTCAGGTCAAAATTTGTCAAAATTCAGTCAAAAGCTAACAAAAATCGGTTGAAAACTACCAATTTTGCAGTTTTGCAGAGGCTAAGAAAGTTAAGAAGCTTATAGTTTCTAGGCCTTCACAAACCTTCAAATCGCTGTAGTTTCATCAGTTTCTGATCAGTTCAGAAAGATTTTGGACCATATTTTTCCAAAAATAAAAATAGTCGAAAAAATTCCGATCATTTTGGTCCAAAACCCATTAGAAACGGATGAAAACTAACAAAACTACAGTAATTTTGAAGTTTTGTAGAGGCTAAGGAACTAGTTTTTTAGCCTCCACAAAACCATTTTCTTGAACACCCTGTTTCGAAATTTCAATGCTCCTTACTAAAAAGAGCCCTGCTTTTTCCCTATTTTCCCCTACAGATTCCCGCAAAAACAAACTTTGAAACCCAAGACCCCCCCCCCCCCCCCCTCCGGTCTGCTTACCCATCATAATTGCCCCGGTGTGCAGCTCCTCTTGAAACATCTTGAAACTGTACACTTATTAGTGTGATTTGTTTATACACATATTCACACCTCCCCTCCTCCTCCAGAAGATGCGCCAACCAGTGGGCGTGTCGACCGAATCGACTGAAGACTGCCCACAAAAGTGGGCGGAGTCTGTTCATTTGATGAGTAGGGTGGGGGAGAAAGAAGACAAAGAAGGCTCATCTCCCCCTCGTTGACAGGTGCATTTATGGCATCGTTTCCGTTTTTAATGACTCCCGAATCGCTTAACAAACTGGTAATGCCGCCTAATTCCAATGGGTAAGCAATTTTGAATTTCGAAAATTTTGAATATGGACTTTTTCCTATAATAACATTTTTAGGTTTTTTTTTTATTTTTAACGCTAACAAGTTTACATTTTTGAGCTTGAACTTTCTAGCCACTTTTCGTGTCGAGACCTAGCTTCTTGAAAGTAAGCTACCGTAAGGGTTGTTATCTAGGCACACATGTTCAGAGCAGTATATCTCGGTTGCCTTTGTAGCTACCAAAAAGTAGTCAACTAAAAAAATGTTAAGCAAAAAATTTTACACATTTTATTAGTTGAAAAATTTTTGATAGCTCTAACGACAAACGAGATATGTTGCTTTGAACATTCAGTACTTCGTTTAAGGCTTTACGGTAGTTTCAATTGTTTGTAGAGGCTAAGAAACTAGTAGCTTCTGAATTTCCTTAGCCTCTACAAAACTTCAAATTACTGTATTTCCATTAGTTTTCACCCAATTTTGATGGTTTTTGGACCCAAATGATCAGAATTTCTTCAAAATTTTTCTACCGAATTCTGAAAACATATGGTTTAAAAATCATAAAAATCGATTGAAAACTGATGAAACTACAACAATTTCAAGTTTTGTAGAGGCTAAAAAACTGGAAGCTTCTGAATTTTCTTAGCCTCTAGAAAACTTCGAATTTGTTCCTTTTTGACAATATTTGATAGAATTGTGTACTATCAAAGCTCAAAAACTAACTAGAAACGTTCCAAAACAATCAAAATTAAAGGTTTTATATAGGCTAATAAACTAGAAGCTTGTGGGTTTCCTTAGCCTCTGCAAAACTCAACATTTCTGTAAAATAGTTATTTTTCATCTAATTTTGATGGTTTTTGGACGGAAATGCTCAGAACTTTCTGGAGACATCTCAGAACTTTGTCCTGAATTTTCTGGAGAAAATCGATTTCAGGAAGTGGAAATTGAAAGTTAGTAGATTTTTCGAAATGTTGGTTTTTGAATTTTTGACACTTTCCGATTTTTTCGATTCATATCACTAGAGGAACCAGCCTTCCAAACTAAAATTATCAAATCTTATCACAAATCCAAGTCAGAATCACCAAAAAAAAATTTATATATAGAGTTTGGTGCGCACGAGTGATTTCTCTTCACCTCTAATGCCAAAACACCCCCCGAAATGCCATGTAACATGTGCTTCCTAGTTAGTCACATTGCAAAGTTGAAAAGCACAAATCCAGTAATTCCCTCAAAATTCCCCTCCAAAACTCATATAAACTTCCAGAATATCGTCAACATCCTCATCTCCCTCGACCTCGACCTCCTTCACAATTGACACGTTACTCTCCAATCCGTTGGCCGCCCTTCCCCAATTACAAGCACAACAGTTCCAGGATCCATTCGGTGGATTGAGTATACCAAATGGAACAACACCTCCAGCCATGCCATGGCAATTTCATGCGGCGTCTTATCCGTTTTTTTGTGAGTTTTGGCATAGGGTTTGAGGATTTAAGGGAGTTTTTGGCGGGTTCATTGGAGTAGATTGTACCAAAACTTCTATCGGAAAATTGAAAAAAAAAGTGTAGTTTGTAGTTGTAGCCTAAAATACAAAAATTGTGGCCTAAGAATCATCGGAAAATGTTGGAAACTAACAGCTCTGTAGAGGCTAAGAAAATTTAGGTGTTTCTAGTTTCTTAGCCTCTACAAAACTAGAAATCGTTGTAATTTTTCTAGTTTTTATCCAATTTTGATGGTTCTAAACCCTCCAAATCTACTATTTTTCTCAAAAACCAAAAACTTTAAAAATCTGCTAGTTTTCAAGTTTCTAAAATCAAAGGATTATTTCTTCAAACACTAGAATAATTTCTTCAGAAAATTCTGAGCATTTTCGTCCAGAAACCATCAAAATTGGATGAAAACTAACTATTTTGAGTTATGTAGAGGCTAAGAAAATTCAGGAGTTTCTGGTTTCTTAGCCTCTGCAATGCTTGAAATCTCTGTAGTTTCATTGGATTTTGACCGATTTGTAAAGGTTTTTGAACCATTATTTTATCGATTTCGGTCTAAAATATTATCAGAATTGGTACAAAATCAGCAGAAACAGAAGTTTTGTGAAGGCTAAGAAACTAGAAGCTCCCTAAATTTCTTTAGCCCCACACAAAACTTCAAAGTGCTTTATTTTCATTAGATTTTGACCAATTTTGGGGGTTTTTGAGCCGTAAACACACGAAAACTGACATTTTGAAAAATATCTGAACAATTTGCTCTAAAAGTCATCAAACTCGATTGAAAACTAACAAATTCTAGTGCACTTGAGACTGGGTCATCCTATCATTGAGTACTGTATGTTCAGAGCAGTGTATCTCGGTTGCCTTCGGAGTTATCAAAAAATGGTCAACTAGTCAAATGTTTAAAATGTTGTGATCTATATTTCTTTAATTGGCCACTTTTTGATAGCTTCGAAGGCAACTGAGATATGCTGCTTTGAACACCTTGTTAGAGGATTTGCTCATGATCCAGCTCAAAAAAAAAATTTTTTTTTTGAATACCCTCTTATTTTTTCGATACCCTGAGCTCTCTTCATCTAAGAAATTTCCCTCACTCAAACCAACTTTCAGCCATGCTCTGCTCCCCCCTAATGCCGCCATTCATGCCTCCCTACCACCATCAACACTACGTCTCCCGAAGGAAGCGACGGCATCGAACGATATTCAGTGAGGAGCAATTGAACATTCTGGAGACCACCTTCTCATCCACCCATTATCCAGATGCCACCACACGAGAAGAGTTGGCAGTGCAGTGTTCATTGAAGGAGGAGAGAGTGGAGGTGAGTTATTCTGAGCAAGCATCTTGTAGAGCGTATATCTCATTTGTCTTTAGAGCTATCAAAAAGTTGTCAACTAGTAAAATGTGTAAAATTTTATGTTTAACATTTTGTTAGTTGATCACTTTTTGATAGCTTCAAGGGCAATCGAGATATGCTGGTCTGAACATACCGTAGTGACCATACCATGTTGCTAAGTGCGTTTTATGTTCAGCAGCATATCTTGGCTGCTTTTAGAGCTATTAAAAAGTTGTCAATTAGTAAAATGTCTGAAATTATGTGCTAAACATTTTGTTAGTTGACAACTTTTTGATAGCTCTAAAGACAACTGAGATATTTTTGCAAAAAGAGCTGGGAGTGCCTAGCTCCCAGTAATCATGGTATTTTCCTGTCGAGACCTGTCTCTCCCTCTCAAAAAGTGTCTGTTTTGATTGGCTACCTAATTCCACACACCATATTGCATTACCTTCTTTTTCTATCCCTCCCTTAAATAAATCCATTACCTCTAATTACTAATTACACCTTCTCTTCTCCCTGTCGGCTCTTTCTTAAACGATCATCCCCTTTCTTCCATTTGGGAAGGGGTTATCCTGTCACCATCTGTTGCTTCTTCGTTTTCCTTTAGCCTCCCTAATCGGGCTCAGGTAAATTGGAAGAATAAGGGGGGGGGGTTTAGGGGTAATTGGGACATGAGGATTTTGAGATTAGTGTCGGGTTTCTGGGTAGGACATGGGTCTAGGTTAATCTAGACATGGGTAATGAAAGAAAATGCCAAAAAATGATCGTGTCGACTTTAGTTCCCTATTAGCATGTTGAAAAAAAAAAGAAAAAAAGATTTTGCCCGTGTGGGGTTCGAACCCGCGACCCAAGTTTCTAAGACAGCAGCGTTATCCGCTAGGCCGCGCATGCAACAGCTAAAAAGCAGGAAGGAGGCGATGAGAATAGGACGGTAGCGAGCAGCTGGGCCATAGCAACATGACCGTGAGAACTTGAATACAATTTCGTGTCGAGACCTTCTCCGTGTGCCCTTACAAACTTCTCGATACGTATTATATCCCTAAGACACTGTTACGAACAAGCCTGCGCGTCCTAGCCTTCAAAAAAGTGGCCGGGCAGGTTGTGCTGCAAGAATTAGGGCAAGAAATACGCAATTTTTCGTAAAATGTGGTGTATTTGTCCAAAAAATCACAAGATCTTTCCCACCTATAGGTTCGAACCTACAAGCTACTTCAGTTAGAAGCCGCAAAAAACTACCGGTTGCGCAACCGTAAATACTGTAACTTACACTCACCCAGTACTGCATGCAGCGTATCTCAGTTATCTTTAGAGCTATCAAAAAGTTTTCAACTAGTAAAATGCTTAAAATATTTTGTTAAACATTTCTTTAGTTGACCACTTTTTGCTATCTTTAAAAGCAAATGAGATATACTGCTCTGAACATAGGAACCTCTACTACAGGACTGAAAAAAGAAGTACTGTATGTTTCCACCGGTATATCTCAGTTGTCTTTGAAGCTATGAAAAAATTGTCAATTAATAAAATGTTCAAAATGTTTTGCTTAACATGTTTTTAGTTGACCACTTTTTGCTAGCTTCAAAGACAACCGAGATATACTGTTCTGAACATACAGTTACTTCTGTCATAAGTTTATATATATACTGTATGTTCAAAGCAGCATATCTCAGTTGTCTTAAAAGCTATCAAAAAGTGGTCAACTAAAAAAATGTTAAATAAAAAATTTTAAATATTTTACTAGTTGACGACTTTTTGCTAGCTTCAAAGGCAACCGAGATATACTGCTTCGAACATTCCTCCTACCAAAATTCCATTTTCTCAGTCTTACACTACACCTCCCCCTTGGTATAAGGTATCATCTCACTCATCATCTCTTTATATGCAATTGTAGAAGTCAAAGAATGCGATGATGCGGATAAATCGCACACCGAACACTTATCCTTCCCCCTTTTTATCGGCTTCCTTAGAGCGAAGGAATATCCTCCTATTTATCTGTCTAATTAGGAAGTGACTAGGGGGGTTGGAGGGGATTTTTTGATAGAAAAAACAGTACAAATTTGATTTTCCAGGTCTGGTTCAAGAACCGGCGAGCCAAGGAGCGAAAACAAAAGAAGGACGATAGCAGGACGTCAAAGGTGAGTAGTAAGGGGGAGATGGGAGGGTACTGTAGGTATTAAAGGCGCAGGGACTTTTCTCGACCCAATTGTACCCTATAGAAAAGGTTGCTGTTATTTTTCGTGTTCTCGAGAGCCCCTGTGCCTTTAGGAGAGACGCAGACATCTAAACTGTCTCGCTGTCTTCGTCTAAAGCCTCTTTGGAGCGCGTTTCCTTTGTCATTTTGATGAGTGAAAAGCTTATATCAAAGTTCTGAGAGCGAGCTTTCCCTAGAATATCATAGTGAGACGCAGACAGCTAGACCGTCTCGTTGTCTGCGTCTGAATTCTCTATGGAAGGTTTTAGGGCCTTCAAACTCTTTTGCATCACAAAGCGACCTAGACAGTTAGACAGTCTTGCTGTCTGCGTCCAGAATCTCTAGTTCTTGAGAGCGAGCCTTCCCTAGTACACCACAAAGAGACGCAGACAGCTAGACCCCTCGCTGTCTGCGCTCTCACTCTCAATGGAGCGCACTTTCTCCCGATAAAACCCCCATTTCAATTCCAGAACAGCGACGAATCCGAGTGTGACGAGAGCGACGAGGACACCCGCAAAATCAAGCGAATAAAACGGGAAAACTCCACGCCAAAAGAGACATCATCCCCGGAATCCAAGGCATCTTTGAAGACGTCGATTTCAGAAAATCAAGAAGTGAAATCCGAAAATTTGTAGTTTTTTTTATTTTGTAAATGTGATTCTGTGAATTTCCAGTGTAAATTTTTTTTTGTAAAAGGAGGGAAGAGGTGGAAGAGTTTTGGTGGCCTAGAATTTTAGCATTGGGATTTCTAGGCCACCAACTTGAAAGCAGCAGATATGGCCTAGAATTCCGATTAGGAGTTTTCTAGGTCATCTTGAAATACTAGTTTTTCACTATTTGAATGATACCGGCAGGTGGCCTAACTTTTGGATTTCTAGGCCACCAATCTGTGAACTAGAGAAAGCACCGCATATGACCTAGAATTCCGATTTAGAGTTTTCTAGGCCAAAAGAGCTAGAAACTAGTTTGCATGGCCTAACTTTCCGGTTTTTGGATTTCTAGGCCATCAATTTTCGGATTCCTAGGCCATCAATTTTCGGATTCCTAGGCCATCAATTTTTGGATTTCTAGGCCACCTAACCTTTGGCCTAACTTTTGGATTTCTAGGCCATCAACTGTAGACTAAAGATGGCCTAGAATTCCGATTCCAGAATTTCCTAGGCCACCTCTTCCACCTCTTTCCGACCTTGAATTTTCCTCCCCCAAATCTTCCAATTTTTCTAGTCCTCGATTCTCTTCCAATCAACCAATTCTTTCCCCAACAATAAACGTCTTTATTTGAATCCTAATCCTCTTCTAATCATGTTATCACATTCTTTTTCCCATCGGGTTACTGTATCTCTTATGATAATCCCCCGACAACTTCGCACCGCCCGACCGGTTCTCGATGGGGATTACTGTAGTCGTCGCACCGTCGTTGTCGAATTAGATGATCGAATTATCATTTTATCAGCAGTTGAGGGGGGAAAACATCGAAGCGAATATATCCTTGAGAAGGTATTACTGTTTTTGGAATTGGAGAAGAGACCTACCACATAGTTTAGGTTTAAACTAAATTCATTTGGGTTGATCAGGTGGAAACTTTCGAATTAATCGGTTTATTTCGATGGAGGAAGTTCAATGAGCGCATTTGCACGCTTACATTTCTTGCCATTGGAGGGAAAACGCGCTCTATCGAAATCAGTGCGGTGGAGCGCATTTGCAGTTGCACACTCAAAGCTGTTACCATCGAGATTCCTGTTAGTTTTGTGAGATAGAGCGCATTTCAAAAACCTAGATTTGATTTGAGAAATGCGCCCTATTGGAATTTTGTGCGGTGGGGCGCATTTGCAAAAAATTTTCGAAACATTTATTTTTTTCGGTCATTTCCCGAAAAATTTTTCGCCATTCGGAACCGAAAAACTTTTTTCTCCAAAAAAACCGGAATAAAAAATTCGCAAAAATCATGTTTTTACAGCCTTTTCGTCCATTTTTCATTGAAAAAATCGAAAAAAAACCGGAAAAAAACAGTTTTTCGAATTTTTTCGGACCAAAATTTTTGAAAAACCCATTTTTTCGATTTTTCGGTCCGAAATTTTCGAAAAAAAAATTTTTCGATTTTTTTCGGATTTTTTTTTCGCACAGCCCTGTTCCTGACAAGTTCATGTTCTTTAGAGCCATCCAGTAGCCTACTTTTCATTCCTTTTCAGCGAAAACGCGCTCTATCGAAATCAGTGCAATGGAGCGCATTTGCATATTCTTCTTGATAACTGCCGCCTGTTGTCGACTGCGAACTCCCTACCTTCCCCCCCCCCCCCCCCCGCACTCTCCTCTATGCCCCCTGACCCCCTTTGCCACCGGCGGAGAGATGGCCGAGCGGTCCAAGGCGCTGGCACAGGTCGTTCGCGTCCGATCCGTTACGGATGCACCGGAGCCGCGCACGGCCCGGATCGGTATCAAAAACGACTCTCGTTACGGATCCGTAACCCACCCGTTTGCGAAAATGATGTCTAAAATTTTGATCTGTTTTTACCATTCCATTTGTTTTCTGTTCTTTAAGAGTCTGGTGCTTTAAAAAAAAGAAAATTGATGAAGTTACGAACTTCTAGGAACAAAAAGAATTGGTAGAAGCACAGAGCCGTATACGGTCAGTTTGCGACTAAAATTTACGGACCGTTTGCGAACGCTCGTTCGCAAACGGAGTCGTTATGGACCCGTAACGACCTATAATACAACGCTCATCCTGAACGGATCTACCCACGAATGACCTGTGGGTTTAAGGCACCAGTCCCTTCGGGGGCGTGGGTTCGAATCCCACTCTCTTCAGTTCCTTTTTTTCTTTTTTTTTCTTTCATTTCCCTCAACTCCCAATTAATAATCGACTAATCCGGAGTACCTTGGGAAGGCAGGGACCGCCTAATCCTATAAGGGGCTGCTGCCAAATCCTCGCCCAAATTCTCGTGAGAACCGTTTTATTCCGAGTCATTGGCGGGGGGAATTTAGAGGGCTAATCTCTATGTTTTCCGGAATTTTCGGGAAGGGAGCAAGTTCGAAAAATTTTTGGGGTCTTGCGCCTTTAAACGGTTCTCATCTCTTTTTCCAAAAGAAACACAATATCCTTTTGTTATTATTCGTGTGTCACATATTATTTGCTCAAAACACTTTTGTGAAGGAAACTGAATAAATCATCAATTTGCCTCACCAATTTCTTGAGAGGATACGGTAGTTTTGAGCAAACGGAGCCCGGAGAAAAGTGAGAAGTGTGGCGTGTCCGTCTTGACTGCTTCACCTGTGTTAAATAGAGCACTTAGAAGGCAAGGAGGGCATTGGATTACAGGCGAGAAGCATGAGAAGATGATGATGATGACTTCTCAAGAGAGAAGAGAGGATATACAAATGTTTGAACAAGAAGCAGGAGGTGTTAGCATGTCAAGAGGGTGTGAACATGTGTAAGGGATCTTCTAATTATTGCTCAAATTATCATAGTTTTCATCTATATCTGTTCAGAAGTGAATTACAGTACAGAAAGGAATCAGAAAACTGAAATTACGATTTTCAGAATTTTTTTTTTGGAATAGGAATCTGATGGTAGATTTTCCAGAAAAAAATAACGGAAAGTCATATCAGAAAATGTGACTTTTTAATAAAATTTGTGCTCAAAATCGAACAAAAATTCGGAATAAAAAAATGTCGCAGTTCCGTTTTCAGAAAAATTTTTTTGGAAAAATTTTTTTTCGGAATTTTTTTTCGAGTGGATCATCTAATTTCCGAGAGATATTGCTCAAATTCATACTGATCCGGACCGGGCCTTCCCACCAATTCTCAAGGCCCGGCCCGGTCCGGCCCGCTCGGCCTAGAAGTTTACCGCGAATTTTGAAAAATCGAAAAAAATATTACCAAATATTGTGCTCCAGATTTATATTGAACATGAAAACAGTAGTTTTGGGTTTTGGAGCATTTTACACTATTTTGATGAGTTTTCAGTGAAAAAATGCAAAATTTTTCAAAAAAAAAACTCAAAAATGGGAATCCGGGCCGCCGGGTATGCTCAAATTATCATAGGTTTCACCTTGATCTGTCCAGAAGTGATTCGAAAAAAAGAAAAAAAGATTTGACCCCAGCGGGGATTGAACCCGGGTACAAAACTTCAAAAACAACGGCGCTATCCGCTAGGCCACGAAACCAACATCGGAACTACAAGAAGAAGGTCGTAACAATCAGGCGGCAGTGCGCAAATTTATTGGTAATCAAGTGCTGGCCGAAGATCCGACAACTTGAAGGCCCCGATATCTCACCACGAAAACTACCGTATAAATAATATTTACTGACTTTCATCAATTTTCATCGATTTTCAGCGATTTTTCCATATCTTTCTCGGAGAAAAAATTAATATTAGTTGAAAATGGATGAAAATTGATGAAACTCGTGAAAAAATAAACTTTTCGAAATTTCTTACTGTAGTAATTAAATTTATACGGTAGTTTTCGTGATGAGATATCGGGGCCGTCAACAAGAAGAATAAAACCACATTCATATCATCGTTTCACAAGTTCTCTCTCTCT